CGCAGGACATCCCCAAATCGCTTCTTCCAGGCAGCAGAAGCCAGTACCCAAAATCTAGGATTTTAAAATCCAGGAACCGAACCACAATCCTCAAACCAGGATCCACCCACCTGTCCATCCCCACGTGCCACATGCCGTTACCCAGCAGCCCGGTGGGCCAGGTAGACCGAGGACCGGCCGGGATGTTGACAATGGACAAGTCCGAAAAAACCATCACCACACGACCCTGATTACTACCGCTACTGCTACTGCTACTGCCACCGCTACTGCTGTTGGCACCGCCAGCATTCTCGGCGGTGGACGGCTCCGAGACCATCAGCTGAAACGCATTGAGGCGCCCCGACAGATTTAGCTCCGTCGGCTTCTGCTGTAGAATGTTGTTGCTGCTACTGCCGCCGCCCCCGCCGCCACCGCCGCCGCTGCTGTTGCTACTGCCAGGACAGCAACCGAGCCCTGTGATGGTGACGTTTCTGTAGATAAGCACAAGTGGCTGGGGCAGAACCGTGTCATTGCCGACGAGGACGACGCTACTGCCACTACTGCTGCCGCTACTGCCGCCGGCGCCAGCTACAGCTCCTTCACCGGCCCGGGATGCTGCTGCGGAAGACGATGATGCCCCAGTGGTGGGCGGTAGGGTGATGTTGGCGGCCAGTGTGATGAGCAGCCGCTGGTGGGTCTCTTGAAGGCGAGTCAGCGCGTCCAGGAGCTGCTCGCCAGTGGTGACGGTGGCGGTGCCGCAGGGCAGCAGTAGCAGCGGCGCTGGTTTCGGAGCTGCTGCTGCTGCTGCTGCTGCCTCCAGCGCGGCCCAGTCTTCCAGTGGGCAGGTGACATTGAGCCGCTGCGCACTGGCGCCCTGGCCGCTGACCAGCGCTGGGAAGAAGACGAACCCGCGTCCAGTCTGTGTGTTGAGGATTGGATACGGGACGGGATGTAAAAGGGGGGTGGTACCGGGGAATACCCGGGAGGGAGGGAAAGCGTGGGCGGGGGGGAAAGACGAACCACGAACGGGTGAAGCGGGGGGGAAGAGAGGGGGTGGGGCCGGATCCGCAGGTCGTGTCACGTCATGCCACGTCAGATCAGATCAGGTCAGGTCAGGTCAGAGGGGAAGTGCAAAGCAGATGGAGCCTAGGGAGGCTGATGTTGGGGTGGTGGGAGTGGGGTTGGGGTTAGGGGAAGTACAGCCGATTGAGGCCGTAGGGGTTGCAGTAAGGACGAGCAAGTAGGGACGACGCAGGAATGTGCTGGTCGGCGGGTAGTCGAGGGAGGCTGAAAGAATGCGGGGGAGTAGGGGCCGCGGGGGGGGAGGGAGTTGGGTATGGGGGGATGCCAGTGGAGTGGGAGGAGTGGAATGTGGAGGCGGAGGAGGAGTTGGCATTTGTTTGGGGGGGGGGAGAAGAGCGCGCGTCGGTGATGTGGTAGTGCGGCAGTGGGGTTGGGAAGGGGAAAAACCAGGTGCATATCTTTTTATGATTTAAATAACTTATGTTGTGCGCATAGGTTGAAGTAGTCCGCATACCTGAAGGCCGGCGTTGGGCCATGCAGCGGAAAGGCGAAAGGTGCAAGCCTCGCCTTGTAGAGCCCAGACCGGAGAGCACGACGGAACAGTTAAAGTTACGTCCGATAAGAATAACAGCGAGTCCTTGGATGGTAACACGCTTTGGGGGAGCCATTCCCGAAGACTAGCAAGCGGTAGCCTTGTCGACTCATTCCATAACTGCATGGAACATCTTTCCATAATACATGTCGCGGAATAGGCCCCGCGTCCAGAAGTTGTATTGAGCGTGTGGCACTGACAAGCCGTAACCAGGTCAGCAGCCCGTGACGTTCCATCGAAATCAGGCATTTCAGACGTGGACAACGACACGCAGAATACGCTCAGGACAACCGTAAAATATAGAGGGGCCCAGCGCGACGCCGAGCAGCCTGGTTGACTCATGAGCGCGGCTAGCTCCGCCTCAGATTCCAGACAAACGTTGATATTGATACAGAAACATAGTGAACGCCCCTAAAGAGCATCTAATGAGCAAAGTCCCTTATATTAAGCAGGTCGACCAGGCGGTAGTTATATCGCATCAAGCAAAAATCCAGGTGTGAAGTTTATTGCTTCAAGCGCCTTACAAGCTATAACGAGTAACGACCGAACAATAGTTATTGGGGTGAAAGGAGAAGTACTGAATATGTTACTAACATATTGATTTAGGCCGCTCTGTTTACGCAAGCAATCGAGGCATTACAAACTCTATAGAATAAGCACATGAATCTCTTGCATAGCAAAGGGCGAAAAGTCTGGAAACTGGAATCCCCCAGCTGAAGTGCAGCGCAGTGCGGACTTTGCGGACTTGCTGGTGCAAGGGGATATCCTTCAAGCAGCATCAATCGAATGTAGTGAATCCCGCGTGGTGCCATGTGGTTCGCAAGTAGTTTTTGTCCCATCCTTCTCCGCAGCTTTCATACTTAACTGCTTTCATGTTGACCTCCCGTTACCCCGCAGCTTTTTTTGTATGTTTCTGTGATAAAGCACTGATTCCAGGAAACACAACAGGGCCCGCTCCCAGAGGGGATGTTTCATGGAAGGCGTACCCGCGGCGTGCCCACAGTGCGCACACTGCTCTGGACCCCGTTCACGCTACCTCGACACTCAACAACCATGCACTTCTTGCTTTGTTAAATTCTGGGCTGCCACGCATCCTCCAAGTCATCTTCTCCTACCGCAACGCTTTTTTTGTACTGCGGGCGTATCCTGCTGGCGTCCGTACTTCATTTCCCCATTAACAGTTCGTAACCCTGTCCCTTTCTTCTATAAACCTCCTTGATTTACAGATAACTTTCCAAGGGCCCTTTCCCCTTTTTTCAGTGACTATCAGCGCACCGACTCCCGCAATTTCAGAAGCGCGATGCTGACGTCTACTTGGCTCACCTCCGCCCTTACTTTCCCAATTTTACCGCTCCTGTTGCCGGTTTTGTAGGACGTTGTGAGTTTGCGAAGAGCGGGATGTCAGCGCCTACGAAGCAGAGTTTTCAGATGTTTTGCCGAATGAGAAAATAAACCTTGGAAGCCTCTCCTAACAGTTATCCATCCTAGCTTTTGAGCAAAACATGATGCGTAATTAGCCTGCCCTCCTTTTGTCAACTCTTGAAAAATATCACAAGTCTCCTGTTGGAAATTGCGACTGCCCATTGCACCTGAGCGACTTCAAAAACATTTCCTTTATCCAAAGTGCTGCTCAGCATCCTGCTCAGCATCGAGGGACCTGATAAATGCCATTTGGATCACTGCGTGGTAAAAGAAAGAACAAGGAGAAGCGGACAAGTTACTTTCAATCGGCTCCTAACAGCAGGTCCAGCAAGAATTCGATTTCCCAAGGCATCAAGCCTGCAGCGGTGTCAACAAGCAGTTTACACCCAAAACACACACAGAAACGCAAAATCCCCGTTGGTCGAAAGAACGCAGCAGTCTTGGTAGACCAATTCCCACCCATTAATCCCTTAACCCACATTTATCCCTCTCACTAATTCCACATGCACGCTTCAACTTATGCCCGTCTCCCCCCTACAAATCCGCCGTACAAACGCGTTATCAGCTATGCCGTGCATGTGCGCCGCGTTTCCCTGACGTCGTGTGCATTCCATTGACAGCACATACGTACGGAGCTGTGCGTATGTGAGCTGCATTGTGTCGTCGCCATTCGCCTCCCCCTCTTCGGATGGGCCCGGAGCAGGAAGGGGCAGCAAAAGGTTATTTTACTCGCAGAGCCGCTTTCGGATGTTTTAATCCGCAAACTAAACGCGAAGCTGAAACGAAGCGACGAACAGCTTCTCCTCTCTCTCCCCCTCCTCTTTCTTATTCATCATTATCATTATCATCATCATCATCATCATCATCATCTCCTTCTTCTTCTTCTTCTTCTTCTTCTTGTTTTTTCCACAGCTCCCTTCCATCGGGACTTGTTCCGCTGCCAATCATGGGTATTTTCACACACACATACATATGTGGGTGCCGTTTACACACGTCCCGGCGGGCCCCCCCCCCCCCATGAAACACCCAACCGCCCAAGACCTTGCCACATCGCGGCGGGAGATTACGTCGAGCCAGCAGAGCTTGCTGCTTGAAAGCTATATTTGCTTTGCTGACATATGAGCTCAACATAGGAGCCTTTGCCAACAATACATAGCTAGCATCTGTTTAAGTGATAAATGTTTCTATTAAAGTTTTTCTTCGCAAAAAAACAGAAAGCCGACAGAAAGCACAGGCGCGATGTACAAATACGCGCACACCTACAGCCCAAGGCATACTTTAAAACCCAAAAGAGAGACTGGACAGACAGATAGACAGGCAGACAGACAAATAACTGTCAGATGAGATAACACGTCAGGCAAGCAGATGTGCGCACACAAGTATATGCGTGTGTGTTTGTGTGTTTGTGCATCATACATGTGTGTGTCTTCCCCGCATACAGGCCTGCACCCCATCATAAACCTGTACATGCACCCTCACCGCCGCTGCGACACGACAACAGCATGAAGACAAATTTCCATTTACGAAAGGTACAAAGGGGTTGAGTTAGTTAGTGGAGTCCGTGGCTGGTTTTGACGCCGCAGATAACGCATCACCGTATGTTTATATGTCCGTGGTGGTATGTGCGCGAAGTTACGAACAGCAAAAGCAGCATGTCTCCACCAGCATTTGCCCACATTAACAAAGTCACCATCATTAACATCAACACCACCACCACCACCATCACCATCACCACCACCATCACCACCAGCATCACCACCAGCATCACCACCACCATCGCCACCACCATCATAATCATTACCATCAACAACAACAACATCATCACAGTGGTGGGGTTATTCGCAGCAACCGCACCACCACCACTCCCTTTACAGCGACCACCATAACTTCACCGCCACTACCAGAACAGTTTCACATCAAGGAACCCCAATACCCCATAAGACCCTTCGCCGTACACCGATAATGAGCACGCCCTGCCGTACATCCGCCCTGCACTGCTCCGTACATCCATGTATAGCACCTGTACTGATTTACGACAAGGATTCCAGGACGCCTGCTCCTGTACTGCAGTCCTCCCACTCGTCTTATTCCGTACTGTATGAGTTCAGTGTTGTACAAATAAAGTATTTTACCGACGCAGGAAGTTCCAGTACTTGAGAGCCAAAATGGAGCCCACCCGCAGAACGAGAATGTACGCCAGCAGGATAAGTACGACCCACCAACGCATGTCGTACCGGTAGCCGAAGCGCTCCATCATGAACTGCTTAACCGGAGTGCTCTTGCCTGAGAGGGGGGGGGGGGAGAGGGGGAGTGAGAGGGGGGGAGGGGGGGGGAGAGGGGGAGTGAAGAGGGGCAGTGAGAGGGGGGGGGAGGGGGAGTGAGAGGGCGAGTGAGAGGGGGGGAGGGGGAGTGAGAGGGGGGGAGGGGGGAGAGGGGGAGGGGAAGGGAGAGGGGAAGGGAGAGGGGGAGTGCGCGGCGGGGAGAGGGGGAGAGAGATGGGGAGGGAGAGATGACAATCGGGTTGTGGTATGAGGAGGAGGCGGCGGAGGAGGAGCGGACAATCTTGGCATCTGGGGGTCTAGCGGAATATGCGAAAAATCTTGTGGTGTGATACAAACGTATTTTCAAGCAAGCAATTACCTGCAGGAGCTTAACTAACTAACTGACAAAGAGGAGGACCTTCATCCATTCACTCACTTCACAATTCATGAAAACCTCCCCCCATTCTCCCCCCCCACACAATTCTGGTTTGACTGATTATGTTGTGTATCGTCGTTCGTACCTTCATCCTCCCGCCCTCCTCCCGCCCCATTAAGCCCCCTTCGGTCCTCTCCCCCCCCCGGGCGGCACTAACCCCCACCCCCTCCTTTAAATCCCACACGTGCAGTGCATCCCGTACCACGCATCCACGAACCCGTACGGCTGCCGTACCTCCGTAAATGAGCTCGCCGTCGTTGTTGCCCAGCTGGCTGATCCCCAGGCCGTACAGAATCCACGTGGGTGGTACGGCACGGTTCATCCAGCGCCAACCGCTGGGCATGTCGGGGTACGTGATGATGAAACCGTTGAACACCTGTATGTATGCATGTATGTATGTATGTATGTACGGCAGTAAAGGCAAGAGTACTCGGAATTTGAATCCCTGGCGTGTGTTATCGGGGTTGACAATGTACGGATACAGTCGTACAAAACGGCGTTGATGTGATAGTGCAGGGGACGACATGTACGGCATGTACACACATCTCTCCCATGGGCAGGTTATGGCATATTCTATTTGTACCGCACGGTTGGACGACAAGTAGTCCCCCTCTCCTCTTTTCCTTGGCAGCAGCTTCACTCGTTCGTGATTCGCCTTTCCCCCTGTCCCCCTCCTCCCCCTCCATCCTCGGCACCTGGACACCCCTCCACTCACGTTAAACAGGAAGTTGAAGCCCCCACCCACCACCTGTTCTCCCACGGTGAGCGGAGAGGGGAGGGGAGGGGGGGGGAAGGGGGGAGGGTGTGGGAGAGGGGCGAGAAGGGAAGGAGGAGGGAAGGAGGGGGGAGGGGGAGGGGGAGGAGGAGGGAAGGCAGCCTTAGCAAATACACAAATGAAGCACCACGAGCCGTCACAACAACCCTAAAACAGTTCCCTACTACCTGCCCCCAGGCGGGGGCCCCATAACACCCGCAACCCCGCCCCAAGCCCCGGGGGCCCCCCCACCACTTCCCCCCCCTCCCCCCCAATCCCCCAGAAGCACCCAAATCAGACACAAGCAGCACCTGCGCGATGGCTTGTGCGGGCGTGATGTACACCAGCGTCTGGCCAAAGATCGTGTAAAAGGCAATCGTCTCGAAAAAGACAATTATGTAATAGAAAAACTGCTCCGGCGCGGTATCGAAGCCGATCATGAAGTAGATGATGGGGACGAAGGTCAACGCCTGGTTGGGTCATAGCGATGAGGATGAGGAGAAGAGGGAAAAGCGACGTGGAGGAGGGCATCTGACAAATTTGGGTGATAACGATAAAGTAAACAGCACGAAGTGTGAATGTTGAAATTGCAGGATGGGGCTGTTTAGGGACAGTGAACACATGTACATATAGTTACATATAACAGGCAGAGAAACATACATACATACACACAAGCGCCTTAAGAAGGCGCAAGAAAGGAATCGTCATTTAGGCAGGAAGTAAACACGTACGCATGCACACACACACATATACATACATACATACATACATACATGCAGGCAGGCAGACAGACAGACAGACAGACACGGGCACGCGTGTCCACATACGTGCGCCATATGTACGGTATATTAATTACATACAATATCAACATGCCGTACTGCATACCTGGATGAGAAGGTACGGCATCTCCACGAGGGCGATGGCGGCGCCGTACGCGAAGGGGTCGTACATGGAGGCGCCGCGCTCCCGGTAAAACACCTGAAAGGCCGTACACACAAGCAAGACAGGCACAACACGGCCATGATTGGAAAAATCAACTAAACAAAAAACACGTTCCCTCTTCCCACACCACCATGCCCTCACATTCCATACCATGCCCCAACCTTTTCCCCCCCCTCACCCGCTTACCGCAGTTGAAGTGAATACGGGGTTTCATTGTTATAGAGGTAATATAACACATCAGGAAATGAAATATGGTTCCCAACAACCAACTGATGTCGGAAGTCCACGACTTTCCGACTGACCAGGGAACGAACGTCCCCCGTCCCCCTTACCCTACCCTGCCGTACCCTGCCGTACTCACCACTCGCTCGTACCCCACCACCGGCAGTACACTCATCAAGTTGACCATGCCCAAAAAGTTGGACGATGAAAACATGATGCCCATAACTGCGCGGACACATGTATATACACACACAGGTGCCGTACGCATGTGCCGTACCGTTAGGCCATGAGGGGGGAGGGGAGGGGAGAGGGGTGCGTGGGGGGTTAAGGGATGACAGGAAGGCAGGCAAACCCAAATCCAGACCCAAATCCAGACCCAAATCCAAATCCAAATCCACGTGGTGGTCAACCTGTGTAAACATATTGCGCATTCGCAAAATCAACCAAGTAAAGCAAGTACTTTTTAAGTAAACTTTAGGGGATGAACTAAATGCACTTCCATCATCATCATCATCATCATCATCATCATCATCATCATCATCATCATCATCATCATCATCATCATCATCAACAGTCAACAAGTACCAACAGTAGATCAGCATTTTAGGGCGGGAGACAGACAGAGAAGAAAGGGGCCCCAACGAGAAAAACGAAAGCGCGACAACCCAACCAGACATCGACAAACGCTTCGGGAGGTTCGGGTCGTACACCGAAGAAACTCCCAAAAACAGAAATAAGAGTTCCCGAAGCCGGCCGGCTTGCAGAAATAGGATCATCCGCCGTACACGAATGTCAAACTATTGCAAAAAACGCATTTTCATTCCGCGGCCTTGTAAAACAGACACTATACTGGAAGACAGAAATAGACCCGTTCCCGAAACCAGAAATACCCCCCGTTTGCCGGTGTCTGAACCCAACCCAAACCAGCCAACCCAGATCCGACCCAACGAACCCAACCAACTCTAACGAACCCAACTGCTTACGTACCGTTCTGTACGTTGGCGATCCCGGCGGGGTCCGGCACGCGTCCCTCACCCCAGTACACCGCCGCGTAGATGAAACTGTATGTATGTGTGTATGTATGTGTGTATGTATGTGTGTATTTTTGTGGGAGTGATATGTGTGAGCGTGGGGAAGGGGGAAGGGGGACGGGGAGGAAGGGGTGGGGGGTGGGGTCGGAACCATAAGGGCCTTTTGAGGGAGATATGCAGCGCGGGGCGAAGCTGACAAATGTATACACAAACACCACAAACTTACCTACTACGAGAAGAAAAATATTCCTTTTAATAAATCTAAAACATAAAACAGACGCACATACACACTCACACACAGACACCACACAAACGGCCGTACCTGGTCGCCAGCGTCATGCCCACCCGCATGAAGTTGTAGCCCGGTGCTCGCCAGTACGCCAAATTGAACTTCTGGAGCAGCACCCGCACCTGGACACCGAACGGCATTGCGTAACGGCTGCCCACCTGCATGTATGATATGGATAAAGATGGGTTTTAGGGTTTTAGGGTTTTAGGGTTCTCATCGGGTTTTAAGGTTTTTCAGGTTCTGTGTTGTATTCTTCCGATCATGGTGAACTGTAACTAACATGGTGAACTTAGGGTTTTTATCTACCAGGTGCCTTTATGTACACGCAGATTTGGCGTTTGCCAATATAATAGGCAGTAGCAGTGCCGTACTCTACGTGGCAAATGCACACTCGGCTATGGACATACGGACATAAAAGCAGACACATACAGACATACCTCCAGAGCCGAGGAAGACTTGAGCCCGGCGTCCACGAGGTCCTGAGCCCGGGCATTGTTCTGTTGGGGGGTTATTGGGGTGGGGGGAAAGCGCGGTTGGGCGGTTGGGTGGTTGGGTGGTTGGGCGGTTGGGCCCACAGGAGTCAGGAGTCAACAGGGGATTTTGGCGGGAAAGATGGATCCAGAAGACAGACCTACAGACATACATGCCGACCTTTCTTTGCCTTTTGCATTTTCGTCTTTGCCTTTTACACGAGACACCCCAATGCTGAGCTGGAACACCGGATCGTGATGACACCCCACCTCCATGTCCTACTTTAGACATCAACCAAACACACACGAGCACAAACACAAACACATACACTCCACCCCCGACCCCTCCTCCTCCTCCTCCACCATCACCACCACAAACCCCCTCCCAGCCCTCTCGGGTCGTCGTACTTTGGCCGCCAGCTCAGACTTGTCGTACAGCTCCGGCCAATTCACGTCCACGCGGTTTAAGACAGTCGCCATGGAGCCCCCCGTCACCTCCAGCATCCACGTGGCTGCACCGGGGGGTGGGGGGTGGGGTTGGGGGGTTGGGTGGGGGGTTGGGTGGGGGGTTGGGTTGGGGGGGGACAATAAGCAGGAGGCGGACAATATTATCAATGTACACACTGACAGTAACAGCAACAGTAGCAACAGTAGAACCAAGAACCGTGTTTGAATGAACGCTTAAAAACAGTATATGCCGCAGCCGCAGCCGCAGCAGCTCTTCCAACGTGTCAACTGTGGTAAAACAACAATATAAAAGTACGGTAGTAGTACGTACATACATACATACCGACGTCATTAATTAATCTACGCACCTGGGTTGAATCCCGAGGGTAACGCTGGTGTCCCCGGTACGGCCATAAAGTACGAGATGAGGTCGGCGGAGTGGAGGCCCAGGGGGCCGAAATAGGTCGTCAGGCCGCCGCGCTGGTTGGGGTGGTTAAGGTGGTTAAGGTGGTTGAGGTGGGGCGCGAGAAGGGATGGGGATTATTCGGGGGGGTCTTTTGGGGGGTTGTGGTGTACGGGGGGTATGGAAATCCCGAGCACGTATTTGGTCGTACGGCACGTGTGGAACAAGGAAGTTGCAGCATGCTGTGTGTGTGTATGTACGTATATGTATATATGTATATCTATATATAACGTATATATGTATGACTTAGATTACACTGTGGGCCGCATGTATATATGTATATGTGTATATATGTATATGTCTATGAGCAAGTGCAAGAGCAAGTGCCCAACCTGAATGAGCAGCAGTTGGTCGAACGCCTCGAAAATCTCAATGGACGGTTGGTGAATCGTAACCATAACGGTACGACCGTTACGAGCAATGTTGCGCACCGCGCGCATGACGATGGCTGCAGCACGAGCATCCAGACCTGCACCACACACGCGTGTCGTACACTTGTAATAAGATAATTAACCTGTTGGGAGTACATAAAAACACCACAAAAGTACGCGACGCAAAAATCAACAGCCCCAACAGCCCAACCGTCCCAACCAACCGTACAACCACCAACAGCTTACCGCTGGTTGGCTCGTCCAAGAAGATGCACGACGGGTTAGCCACCAGCTCCACCGCGATCGTGAGTCGCTTCCGCGCCTCCACCGACAACCCGCTCACTCCAGGGGAGCCCACAAGGGACGACATGAGGGGGAGCAGGTCAACAATCTCCAGCACCTCCTCCACGTACGACTTGACCTGTGTTGTACGGCAGGGAGAGAGAAAGAACGGGAGTCTACTTGCTGTGGGCAGTGGTTGGTTAATTAGTTAGTTAGTTGTCTGGTGGTTGTGGTTGTAACTGTGTGGGGGGGCGGGGACAGGGCGTGGGCGGGGACGGGATCGCCTCTTACTACAGCAAATCACAACTTCCACGTGCTGTGTTTCTTGCTGCCCTCCACCCCCCCGGCTACACTCCCCCCGTCCCCCCCCCCCCCACCACCATCCTGGTCCAACCCCCACCAGTAGAAGCAAAAGACGGGTGTACTGCAGTGTACTGCACTGACTCACCTGGGAGTTCGAGCAGGACTTGGGCAGTCTCAGTCGGGCCGAGAACTGCAGCGCCTCAACCACCGTCTGCCCCGGGGAGTGGATGTCGAACTGCTCCACATAGCTGTGTGTGTGTGTGTTTTGGGGGGAAGGGGGGGAGGAGAGGCGGCGGAGGGCGGGAAAAAGAGGATTAGATCCAGATTCAGTTTATCGCGGGGGCCGTCGGTTGGCCGACCCGGTGAGGTGAAGCGACAGATGGACAGAGGTGGAGGTTAAAGCCGGGGAGACAGCATATAATATATGACATATGACATATGACATGAACATGTGTCGGGGCTTGAACGGGGCTTGAAATCATCATATGGTGAGAGAGAAGTTCGGATGGATGAACTGCCTGCCGGACGGCTTCCTCAAAGTCCGAAACTGCCCAGTGAGTGCTAAGCGATGACGAAGACACCGACCCGTGGTTCAGGAAAAAAAAGGGGGGAGGGGGGAAGCTGCAGTGGATGGATAAGGTGAAGGAAGGTGCGAGGGGTGTGGAGGACATATATATTATTCACACATACGCAGCTTTCAGTTCATGAAAAAAAACACACACACATACACACGCACATACACAGGCCCTCATAGCCCCTCACTCCACCCCCGTCCCCCTTTTTGTCGTACGAATGGCTCATGCCTCACCCCATAACGCGGCTCCACGCCCGGGGATCCGCCCGGTGACCGTTGACCGTTATCGTACCACTGATCTCTCCAATGGTCTTACGGCCCGCAATGACGTCCATCAAGGTCGTTTTGCCTGTGTCGGTTGGCGACGGTTGGTGACGGTTTTTGGTTCGAATCATGCTAACTGTAAAGGGAACATTAAAAGACTTAGCTCCTTCGTGAACCACACTCTGTTGCGACACTGTGTTGATTTCCTCTCGGCATTTCGGGGCTTAACGCAAACTGATTATAGCAAAAACTTCACCATGTACGGTGCTTTTGGGGACATACATACACGTACATACATGCATACGTACATACACACACGCACGTACCTGCTCCGGAACCGCCCATGAGCGCAAGCAATACCCCCGGCTCGTTGAATCCCGTAATGCCGCTTAGCAGCTGCAGCCGCTCACGGGCGGCTACTGGCAATACGGCGCTACTGCCGCCGCCGCCCTCGGCAGTAGCGCCGCCATCGCCGCCACCAGTTTTAACCGCCATTTCCAAATCGGTCTTACCAGCGGCATGGGCGTTAATGGCAGCCTATGTGGGGGGTCGGTGGAGCGGGGAGGGTAGAGAAGGGACGTGGTGTGAGGTAGGGTGGATTGCGGGGGTGAGGGAGTAAAAGTACGATCAAGTACGATAGGTTACGACACGTCGCATTTCCCCATGCACCGCATTATCTATTGAGTTTCTCCCCACCCCCCGAAAAACCTATTTGACTGAGGCACCACCCCTGGCATTGGCTCGGAAATTTGGGAGGCCAGGCACGTCGCGCTGAGGTGCTTCGCCCTGAAGCGGACGAGGGAGGATGATGGTGGCCTCCCGCGTCAAAACCCGCATCAATACCAATACAACGTCCATAAGGCCCCTCCCCCGGCTTTTTTACGGACACACCCGTACTTGTGTGTGCGCCGAACTTGTAACTTGTAACCGAAAAAAGAGGGGGAAAGAGGTCGTCACACGAAACCCAAAACTCCCTCTTCCCCTAGCACCTCACCATTTCCACATCCCCAAGTCTCCCCCACATACAAACACACATATGCCGTACCGCGTCCCCCCATCTCCCGCTCCGGAACCAGACCCAGATAGCGACGAAAAGAAAACCCGAATCCCCCTCATTTGGTGACCTCGCTTCCCCCCCCCCGAAACCAACCCCCTGATGAACCTAGCCCCTTCATTTATTTATTAGCCCCCACATTCCTGACCCCAACCCCAACCCAATCAACCCCACAATAATAAAACCCTAAAACCTTAAAACCCCGAAACCTACCTGGTGGGTTTCCGCCGCCGCCTTCGCCGCCGCCTTCGCAGCCGAACGAGAGTAAGCGGGATTTGGGACCCAGTACCTGCGTATGGGTGTTGGGCGTGTGGGCGTGTGGGAGGGGAGGGGAGGGGAGGGGTACGACAAAGCGCAGACGATTGACGAGGTGTGGGGAATGGAAAGGGAGGAAGGAAGGGAGGGCGGGGCCCCTAAAGTGTTAAAGGAAGGTAGAGTTGCAGTCAAGTGATATGTATTCTGTTTGTATGTACGCATGTCCTCGACACGCTGCTCCGCCTCTTTCGAGTAAGAGTAAGAGTACGAACACGGCGAACAAAGATGGGGATGCGGGACACCTCGCTACTTGGCATTACTCCCACCTACTGAAATACACACATACGTACATATGTACATACATACACCATAGGGTACTTATGTTATGCGGAGGGGGAGAGAGAGGCGGGGTAAGGCGAGCCACGAACGAGGCGGCGGCGGGGGGGAGGTAATGCAGCTGTCTGCCGTACTTACTTAAGGTCTTGGAAGACGAGGGTGATGGGGGTGAAGGGCAGGGAGGAGGAAATGTCGATGAAATCCTGCGCGCGTGTGTTTGAAATTTGCGTATGTGTGTTTGCGTGTTTGCGTGTTTTTTTTGTGTGTGTGTTATGAGGGGATGGGGGCGGAAGTGCAAATGGACGCAAGGAGCAAAGAGGATTAGAACTGTGCGCGTGAGAGAGGGGGAAGGGGGAGAACTCCGGACAATAGAGACATCTCCACTTATTTGGGAGGAAGATTGCCCCCCTACTCCCATTTCCTCCCCCCTCCCCTCCCCGCCCCCATATGTATGTATGTATGTATGTATGTATGTATGTGTGTATATTTCTGTTACATATCGATCCCGGGGACTGGGACACTGGCGCCAGGGCCACCTAACCCCATACCCCGATAGAAACGACCGCCGAAGCACTCTGCTCCTTGTGTGTGGGGGGGGGAGGAGGAAAGACGAACCACGAACGAGTGAAGCTGCTGCCCCAGGGCAAGAGTGTACCAGGCGTTTAGGACTGACCACCTGGGGTGGGGGAGGGGGGTGCGTGTCAGGGGCCGCCCCCCCAGTCCCCTAATACTGCTCGACTGAGTGCCCGAGACCCACCCAGTGTCCATCCACCTCATGTAATCCACGATGATGGTGATGGTGATGATGATGCAATCGATGGTGTGTGTGTGTGTGTGGAGGGTAACACCCGGAGAGACCCACTGAGAGGCACTTGTCTTGTGGACCCAGATGATGCCACACACACACACCCGCCCCCCCCCCGGCCCCCCGGGAGGGAGGCGTACTTCAATCTCCAAAAAAAACACAAGACCTTTCTTCAGGTAGACATCTTGACTACGACTACAGATGACGAGAGATCCAAAGATTATCCCCAAATCTTAATCCCCCGCTCCCGCCCCTTACACATACATACATACACACAATCACCTGTAACGCCGCCACGGACGGCGAGACCACCATTCCAGGCGCCTTGCCGGGCCCCCCGGGTTGAGATTTGGTTCCCTTGGGGGCCCCTCCCTGGACTGAACCCGGCTGGGGCGGCTGCTGAGGCGGCTGCTGGGGGGGTCGCACCTCAATGACGGCGGCCTTCTCACCCTCGCCCTGATGGGAATCATGGCGGGGAGGATGAGGGTGCAGATGACAATGACGATGTTAATGATGTTAATGATGTTAATGATATAAGGAGTGGGAGGAGGGGGATGAGGAGGTTGGTGAAAGAGATACGGGGTTGGGGTGCGGGTTGAGAGGGGCAGTACGGGAAGGGGGGGAAAGATTCGAACCACGTGAACGAGTGAAGCTGCTGCCCCAGGGCAAGAGTGTACACCAGACGTATAGAACTGACCGAAAGGCGTCCGTGAAGACGGCGACCTGGGGATGACGTAGACGGAAAGGGGGAAGGAGCGGCCAAAGGAGCCCACAAACGTACACCCAAACCTCCCCTCCCCATTACCCCTCCATCCCCCTCCCCTCCCACCCCACCCCACCACCCCACCACCCCACCACCGCCACCTGACCTGCTGGCTGACCAACTTGGCATGCCGTTCCTCAGCTCGACGACGGGCCTTATGAATCTCCTCGGGATCAGGTAGCTGCGAGCAAGTGAGTGCCACACGCGTCGTACATACACACACGTCGTACATACATGCACGGATAAAGGGATAGGGCCCTGTCCTTGGCCGGGGTTGAGGGCCCCCCGGTCATATAAGAATCACCCCCCGGACCACCTCCCGAGACAAAAAAACGCCTTTGTTAATGCGACGAAAATTACACGTAAAGACATATCGACATACAGTTAAACAAGCATGCAGACGTACAAACATACAGACAATCATAAATATACAGACATACGCGGGTACGTACCTGCGCCTGGGGTACTTCCGGTTGCTGGTGTGCCAAGCTGATGATGGAGGTGTAGGTGAGCAGCAGGAAGGAACCCAGCAGGAAGCCGACCCCGATCCAAATCCACTTCCGCTCTGGACACCGGAGGGAGCGGGGGGAATACCGATAGGAAATGTATGTATGTATGTATGTATGTATGTATGTATGTATGTATGTATGTGTATGTGCGTATGTATGTGCGTATATGTTTATATGACTTAGATTACACTGTGGGCCGCGAGAGCCGGGGGCCGAAGCCGAAACACAGCGCAAGGGTCCGGAGCACACAGCACAAGTCGGTGTGTATATGTATGTATATGTACGTGTATGTACGTGTATGTATGTGTATGTGTGTGTTAGCCGCCATGCCGAGTCTGAGGGAGGTTGGTAGCTAGAGTGAGTAGTGGGTCGAGTACTCAGAGGAACGAAGGACCCGAATGGAGCCCGACTGCAACCAATACACCGCTCCCTTTCTCTTCCCCCTCCCCATAACAAAACACATACACACACGCAAGCCCCCCCGGCCCCCACAACACAACCCCCAGGCAGATGGATAACGACACACGTACAGACAAACAAAAGCCACCATATCTGCCACAACAATCCCTAAAACCCTAAAGCCCCCAGCCACCACCGCGACCCGAACATTGTCTTATCCACCCGCGGCAGGAAACACAACCCCACCCCACCCCCACCCCCACCCTTATTATCTACTTTACACACACACCCGCCTAAAACACACACACGATTCAAGCCCAAGGAAACTCACCCAAGTAGAAGTCGAAGGACAGAAGCGCCGCATCCCCAAGGCTCAGTCCAGGCTGCATGCCCGGGGGGGCGGGTACGTTTTGCCACTTGGGGGACACCATCTCGTTGATGACCAGGGAGCTGATATACAGACAGACAGATAGCCGGACGGACAGACAGACATACAGGCAAAGGGAGGGGGAGGGGGGAAAAGCTAAGACGGGGGCGGGGGCGGGGGAAAAGAGCTGGCGAGAGCAATGGGTTGTTGTTGTTGGTGGTGGTGGTGGTGGAGGAGGAAAGGCAGCGGGGACGTGTGGGGTTGTGGTGTTGTACGACAAGTGCCAGCAGCAGCGACGGGACCGCAGGGACGGGGAAAGGGTATTATAGTGCGGCAAGTGCGAGTCCCGACGGGGGAGAGAGGGTGTTCGGAGAATGTGGTCACATTCTGGGTTATGATGTGGTGTGTGATATGATATGTGTGTGTGTTACATGGTTGGGGGTGCGTGACCCTATACCTGTAAAACTACTCAACGAGCCGAATGATATGATGTGGTGTGTGATATGATGTGATGAGAGCGGGGTGGACATATAGAAAGTAAGTGAAGAGAGATGATAAACCCACCCTCTATCATGCGATACTTTCTCCTGCGGGCCAAACGTAACAAATAAAAAACCACAATCCTAAAAACCCTAAAAACCCTAAAACCCTAAAAACCCTAAAAACCCTAAAACCCTAAAAACCCTAAAAACCCTCCCCTCCCCTCCCCTCCCCTCACTCCCTCCCTCACTCACTCACTCGTTCACTCACTCACTCACCGTAACGCATACGCATGTGGGCTGATCCAATAGCCCCAAATGGCCCAGGGGGGAATGGAGTTGTGCACTATCGCGAAACCCGATGTCAGGATGAGCAACACGAACACAAAACCCACCGCCGCGTTGGCCACCACCATGTTACGACATATGCAGGCTGTACGACAAGAATGGCGGGAAAAAACGGGGTAGAGGAGAAATTATGGGGAAGTGACGTGGTTTTGGGGGGGGGGCACCCTTAATGGGAGAGGTGGGAAAGCGGGTATGGGTATGTGGGCCTTATTTGTACGAATAATTAGGTGATGGAAGGAGCCAAGGAGTCAATCTCCAAGTTTTAAAACACAACGACAGCCCTTCAACCGACCCCCCACCACGCTCCCCTTCCCTAACTCCCCCCTACAATCCCACCGCCATTCCAGCCCCCCCCCCGGCCAACCACTTGCCCATGTATCGGAACAACGACGATATGGACATGGAGGTTACCATCATAATGACCATGAAGGTGAAGAAGTACCCCGGCTGCCTGATGGGGGGGGAAGGGGGGAGAGGGGGGGGGGGAAACACGAACCACGAGCGAGGAGAAAGGGGGGGAAGCGGGGAGGCATTTGCCAAGGTTACGAACTCTCTAACGTACCGTCTTGCCGTACAAGGGCGTTGATACAACCCAGACAGTGCGCATGTGTACGTGCGTTTGTATGTATGTGTGTAGGTGCGTATGTGCGTGTGTATGTATGTATGTGCGTGTCCCTTTTCTGTATCGGATGCCGTGCTCATGGAAGGAGGGGGGTTGTCGGCTTCGTTCTGCTCCGAAAACACACACGCCGGGAACACGTGCGACAAACACACGCCGTACATACATGCTGTGAAACGTGTCGTACCTGTAAAAGTTGACCATGAAGTACATGATGAGGGAGAAAATGACGGACTCGATGGTGGATAACGGCAGCTGGGCAAAACACACACGTACACATACATACATACACACACACGAGCACGGAGGAACGGGGGGGGGGGCCGGAGGGGGGCGGAGGTCGGGGTTTGAGTGAGTACGGCACACGCGAGCTTCAGGACGCCAACCCGATGGCTGCCAGCCAGTCCCTGTGCCGGCTTTTCTTTCAGCCGTCCGGGGCGCGAAAGGTCTTATCCCCCACGTCGTGACACGCGGAAGGGGCAATGGGGTTATAGGTGGGTTTCGAAGGGCGAGGGGGCGGAAGTAGCAGCAGTAGCAGTAGCAGTAGTAGCAGTAGCATCAATAGAGAAGAGGAAGAAAATGGCACTCCTGGCCGCCCCAAACCCTCGAATGGGACCAAGCCGACCTTGCAACCCATTCTGCAACTCAATGGACATAACGAACACTAACATACATACCTACATACCTGCCCACTTGCCCACCTACATATCTACCTACCCACCTACCTACATACATGCCTACATACCTAGAAACATACCTTTGTAGGTAGGTATGTAGGTAGGTATGTAGATAACCTTCCTACCTACCTACATGCACGCATTCAACAGACACCGCAGACCCTCCCCCTCTCACCCGCTACTCCCCCACCACCATAATCTCCCCCCATACACACACACACACACACACGCACACGCACGGACCTGTGACAGGGCCATGGCTAGCCCCTGCGCGTATGCCGGGTAGAAAGCCGCGGAACGGTGCTTGAACCAAACTCTGGAGCAGCAGCAGTAGCAGTAGCAATAAGCAGTAGCAGTGGAGTGGCAATAAGCAGTAGCTGTAGCAGTAGCAATAAGCAGTAGCAGTGGAGTGGCAATAAGCAGTAGCAGTGGAGTGGCAATAAGCAGTAGCAGTAGCAATAAGCAGTAGCAGTGGAGTGGCAATAAGCAGTAGCAGTAGCAATAAGCAGTAGCAGTGGAGTGGCAATAAGCAGTAGCAGTAGCAGTAGCAATAAGCAGTAGCAGTGGAGTGGCAATAAGCAGTAGCAGTACCAGTAGCGATAAGCAGTAGCAGTGGAGTGGCAGTAAGCAGCAGCAGCAGCAGCAGTTGCCCTAGCAGTACCACAAAAGCCAGCGAGGAGGGGTTCATTCATGCCGGCTGGACAACCTACCCCCCCTCACCTCCCACCACTTACTTTTTCAGCTCCATGGTCACGGGCAGTTGCGGGAAGCTGCCAAAGCTCATGAACAGTGTGCTCATGAAGCAGGCGCCAAAGATGGTGCGCGACGCCACCATCGACACACCCTGCCGCAGGCGGGGAACACGGTAAGGACAAACATACATACATACACACACAAACACGAACTCTCTTACAGGGTTTTAGAAACAATGTATATATTAATCTATTTTAATTATTTATAAAAATCCCCGTGGGACAGATACCATGAACATCACGCAAACCCCAACTAAAAAAACGAAAAAACCGTAAAAATTGTTACTAAGACCCAACTATAAAACCACACCATCACCCACCTGGTTGTAGAACAAGCTACCCGTGAGCAGCCCCAGCACGATGACCTGCATGATCCGGCCCTTCAGCAGCACCTTGTCGCGAGACACCAGCATCATCTGACGCCGCGTCGCAGCCGCCACGGCCTCCAACGGCCGCAGCGCAAAGCGGTTACTTAGCGGCACCAGCGGGGCGGCTGGCGGCCCGGAGGGCTGCAGCGGCTTCTCCCGTAGCTCGGTTGCCATCGTGACACCTTCATAAAGAGTGCGTGCGTACGTGCGTGCGTGTGTATTACATGTGCGTATGATGTATGTGGGGGGGGGAGAAGGGGGAAAAGGAGGGGAAGACGGGGGGAAGGAGAGAATCGGAAAGGAAATTGGGTTCCGTTACTGAACGGGGATGTACTCCCCCGCCAATTCCGTCATCAGAAAGGAGCATGTGTCGTACAGTGCCGTACGTACCGTGCGGGTTACGTGTCCAAAACGCCTGCTCCATTTCCTCCACGCTGATCAGCATGGACCTGCGGGTTCGAGGAGGCGGGCGCGGGGGGGTTAGAGGGGAGGGGAATATTCACCAAACCGCACCCGCGAAACTCGGCCCTGCTCCTCTTAACAAAACAAACACACCAACAACTCCCCTAACAACCCCGCAAAAACCGCCAACCGTGTCCCAATCCACAACATGGCTCATTCGGTATTATTTCCCATGGACCCAACACACGCCACGGCCGCCGTCACCACACACCCCCGCACCTCCCGCGCTGCGGGGGCGGGAAGCACGGCGGGTACGGCACGACCCTGTACGGCGGTACGACAGTCCACACAGACGAGACCCACTTTGGCCGCAGCTTGAGCGACCGGCCGCGGTTCGACGTGTCGCCGCTGGCGGTGCTGGCGTTAGCCGCCGCGAGCGCCGCTGCGTCAGCGGTGGCGGCGGCGGCGGCGGCGGCGTCGCCGCTGGCGGCGGTGGGCATAGGCGGCAGCGCTGCGGATGCTGCCCGGCTCGCCGTCGTCAGCCCCTCCTCGGCGCCCGGCGGGGGCAGGTTGAAGCGGGCGCGCAATTCGGGCCCTATGTATACGGCACGCGAACGTGCGTGTGTGTGTGTGTGTGATGAAGATGAAGCCTCAATGGGGCTGGTGTGTGGGGTTTTGGTATCTACAAGGGTATTGCGAACCATCATTAATCGTACACATAAACATACACATCAGCCACTACTATATGCCTTAATTAGGTATGTATGTATGTATGTATGTATGTATGTATGTGGGGGAGGAAGGGGGGAGGAAAGACGAACCGCGAACGAGTGAAGCTGCTGCTGCTGAAGGAGGAAGGCAGGGACGACATCATCCGGGGGCGAAAGGAGCTGCTTTGGGTTTTGAACGCGATCAGCCCCCCCCAGCCCCCCCCCCCCGACCCCCCCCCTCAGCAGCCCCCTCCTTACCCGCGAACTCCCTCTGCCCAGTGGGTGTGGTGATTTCCAACAAGAATGAAGGAACGTCCTTACGATCCGGACAGTCCAGACCCACGGAACGAAAGTGCTCCACCACAGCCTTGACGGGGCCGTGGTACAACACACGACTGTACGAATGTACGGGAAAAGGTACTTCAGAAAGTCGTTTTACGTTTTACTGGAAATGCAATGCTATACGGCACGAATTCGCTTGCTGTGCCGTACTGGTGTGCGAGGTCTGGGACTGTCGAGTCAGGTGTCGAACAACACAAAGGCGGGGAGAGTGTGTGTATGTCTGTATGTGCACTACAGCGATATAACTTCCCCCCTCCTTTCCCACGACAACGCATAACCACGATGAAATATCGCGTCATCAAGACTCGTGTCGTAACGCTACAATTGTATGTGTGTGTATCCCGTCCTACACCCCCAAACTCCCCAAACCCGTGGCACCCTCCCCCCCCGCGTTTACACGCACAGTAACCCGCCAGCGTGCCCCTCCGTACCCCTCCATCCCCGTTACCTTTCCCCCCGCCTTAAAACCCTTCCCGCCCCCACTCACCCCTCCGTGAGCAGTACGACATCATCAAACAGTCCAAACACCTCGGGCGGTGGCTGTAGCAGGGAGGCCACGATGGTCAGCTGCAAGGCCTTAGCAGCCTGACTCAGCCAACGAATAACGGTAAACAGAGTAGCGGAGTCCTGAAAGGCAGGGTGGTTGGGATAGGACGGGGGGGGGGAGGACGGAAGGAAGGGGAAACGGTTGTCCTTGTGGGGTGTTTAGGGGGGAGGGTTAGGGGGGGGGAGATGTTGA